TTTTTACGAGTTTCCTGATGCAGCGCTCCTCTCTGCTGCATTTGTTGTATGCCTGGTTGCAGTCTTGTTAAAAAATGTATTCAATAAAGAGAACGTCCTTTTGCTTCACCTGTGCGAGTATCTTAATGAAAAAGATAATATAAAATTAATAATTTACTTTCACTTTTTATATACATATTATATATACACATATATGTAAAAAACTTAACATCTTTGTGGTTGTTTCAAAATGTCATCTTGAGATTATTCTTGTGAGTGATAAAACAGTGTGTGTGGAGTGGGGGGCTGCTGGGGAGTGGGGAAGAAAGGTATATTCTTGGAGAAGGATGAGATCGTGATAAGCATTCTGGATGTGGAAGTCTGAACATTATGTAGGTGGACAGGAAGGCAGCGAGATTAGAGGTGGCCTTTGCAAAAAATGCAAACAGCTATCCAGCACACAAATCAAATTGATCTGGATTACACTTCAACATTTCACTATTCAGGGAGAGTTTCAAACTGAAGTGCACCTCCAGATCTTGAAATCAACACATGAAATCGGAGAGAGAAAAAATGGTAAGTTTTCAGAGCGAGGCGGAGCAGAATCTTCAGGGATTTCAAGTCTGGCAGTAGTTATTTTGGCTGAAGGCTAGGGATTTCATTGCAGATTTCCTGGGACATACACCCACTAAAGGCCTGGAGCAATAGCTGACCAGCAGAGGAAATAGAACATGATAATCATAACTGGCCAAGAGGAGAAAAGCTTGAGGAGATTGCACAAGCAGCTGGTTGGAAATAAAATGGGGAGGGTGAATGCTGACATTAAAATGTAGTTCAATAATGTACACAGTTCTTTCAGTCTTCTTGAATCATTTGTTCGTTAGTTGAAAATTCTTGTAAAAACATTTTTTATTTTTATTTTTCTCTCTTTTGTCTTGCTCAAAAGACATAAATCAGTGTGTTACTGCAGGTTGTTTCTGCAGAGCTTCATTTTTTTAAAGCCTCCTCCTCTCTGTTCTCTTGCATAATTTTTTGTTAAAAATGTAGCTTGGGCTATGGGGAGGGAGCGGGGGAATGGGATTGATTTGGATAGCTCTTTTCAAAGAGCCAGCATGGACACGATGGGCTGAATGGCCTCCTTCTGTGCTGTATAAATCTATGATAAGAGACAGCTCACGGTAACGCCAACCTTGCCTTGAGGTTATTGGGCATTGTGTAATCTTCCACAACACCCACATGTGATTAAAAAAAATAAAACAACATATCGTATAAACAGATTATACATTTCAACCCTGGAGCATTTGCAAGCCTGTGTTATTGTAGAGCATTTCACAAGCAGATAGTAGGTAAATTCTGCAGCAATGTGATCATTTATTGACTAAGGAAACAGAAGGTTGGTTGGAAGGATGTCTTAGAGAAGAGGCCATGTTCTGGGTTACATCTGTTGTGTAAGAAGACGCCAGATGGTTCTTGCAGGACCTGAGGAGCGGGATTGACAATGGTGTCAAACTATTGACTGCTCTGAAGTGCCCTAATAATGAACGTGGGGATTCGCTGGGATTGTCAATCCTAGATAGAGTTTGCCATTTCGGATTGACAATGCTAGGATTGACAGTTGCACATTAAGTATGGACATTGCCGAATCTCTCCTCTGATCATCTTGTGCCTCCCAAGCACATACTTGTTAGTGTGCAACTGATTACCCCTGTTTTTCAATCTTGCTGGAAGTAAACTGTGAAAATCCACTCTAGACAGGATCAGGCTTAACTGCGATTCTTTCCAGTAAAAGGAAAAAGGAGTTAAACACCCACAGGAGAAGAGGAGGTGGAGAGAACTGGTGAATATAATTGTGCAGAGAAACAAACAGTGTTGCTGCTTAATGGATAGATAGGAATTTCAATGGAATAAAATGCACGATACAGATTCAAATCAGTTTCTATCTTGGATTGACAATGCCAGCGAAACCCCCTTATTATTAGCTTGAAAAATTGGGAACATTTTCTTTGTGCAGAGGGACCTACACACACTTGGGCACATAAAAGTCTTCTTTCGTACATTTAAACAGGGTAAATGCACTTTTAATTACTTAATTAATCTGCAGAATCATATTGGGTGCTTGTTTAATCCTTAGAGAGTAACAGGGTTATTAGCTGCTATGTGATTCTGTCTATCATCCATCTTCAATCTATTCATTGGCTGCAAAATAGTAGGGAAATAATTATATGAAAATAGAAAAAAAAAGTAGCAACTGGGAGAGTACTGGTAAGTAACATGCAGCCTTTATGCAGATTTTAATTTAGCAATAAAGGTAACATTACAGTAATATACTGTATATCATAATGTTTTTATAGCTTCATTATTGTTTGCCTATACAACAACACTTACTACACTTTAAAAATAACTTATCGTCTGAAGCGCTTTGAGATGTTTTGAATGTGATAAGGTAGGTAATGACAAATGCAAGTATTAAAACATTTCTTTTTTAGAAGCACAGTGAAAAGGTAGAGGATTAGTCAGGTGACACAGACAGAAATGGTTGTCGACTTGTTGGAGGTCTAAGCATTAAATATAGAGACTGCCTGGAGAGTAACGCAAGCTGTACTTTAAATGCTATTTTCTTTAAATGACAGTGCTTAGTCTTCTGGTTCGCTTATCTTTGGGAGCCAATTGTGGTATCCACCTGCTCCAGGAGATTAAATACCTTGAGAAGTGTCATGACATCGCAAACTGTAAACAGTTCTTTGCAAGGAACGAGTTCAGTGAGGTGGGAGGCAATTCATTTTCAGTACATCACTTAAACTATCTGCAGCAGCCGGGACGGCACTGTTGCTTTTTATTCTGGACTCGTCTTGTGTTCTTTATATGGTAAGACATGGATTTTGATGAAAAACATGGATAATTTTGCTGTGTGACAGATGGTTTCCAGTTTGTTATAAACTGCAATTTGGCCATTGCCAACCACGGGCATCTCTTACTTTGAGGAGCATGCAATATTCCATTTCACTTCCCACCAAACAAATTATTGGGTTTTGTTTTAGAAAATCTCGGTTATTCGGATTTTTTATTGCCTCCATGCCCCATTATAATAATATCAATAATAAGGTACTACAGCCACTTGTATTAGATAGTGCCATTCAGAAAGAGGAAGACAATGCTGGACACTGAGCAAGGGGTTTGGGGAAGGGAGGAAGTCATCGACGTACAGTGGAAGAGGTCGTCTTTTTAGGTCACTTTTGAAAACAAATAGAAATGGGTGAGACACAAAGGTTGAGGGAGGGAATTCCAGAAGGTGAGGTTACAGGGGGCTGAAGGCTCGGCCGCTGATGATGTTGCGGGGGTGGGTGGGGGGCATGCATAGCAGGTCCTGATTTGCAAGCAGAGGGGGTGAGCAGAAGAGAGAGGCTAGAGAATGATCACAGAAGTAGGGAGATGTGAAGGAATTTGTTAGGCAAGAGATCTTGAACTCAATTCACTGGGAGCCAATGGAGGTTGGGAAAACTCTATTGTCTTGGTTTAATGGCTCATCTGAAGGACAGCACCTCTGACAATGCAAAACTCCCCCAACATTGCACTGGGGCATCATACTGGACTGTGAACTGAAAGTCCCAGTTAAAAATAAAGGAATGCTGAATTTACTAATGACTGCAATGAATAGGGGACTTCTAGCTAATGAATGTACTCTAAATACATTACCCCATTCTAGCATAAAACATGCTGATACATTCATAATAAGCGTAATATATTTTGATACCCATTAAGACTATAATGAATAACCCAATGGATTATTTTTCTGCAGTAAGGGAATGAGAGTAAATTCCTCCTACTTAATTAGCTGATGGCCTCTTTTCCAACAGAAACCTAATGTTCCGGGTCATTTTTCATGACTGTTAGTGAATCGAATCTGTGTGGTAGAATTCTTAAAATTTAAATTGCGTGCTTTTGCAGGATATTAATGTGGATTAATGTCTCCTCGCCGTCCAATCAATTCATGCTTTCTGAAGAATCCACTTGCTAAATTATAAAGATATATTTTGCACAATCTCAGAACACAAGACCCAGTCTTATATCCAATAATATTTCACGTCTTTTAAAAATGCTTTGTTTCTCAGCAAAATTGTTCCAAAGCATTGAATTATTTGTAACATGCATTCCAGATGAAGTTTTGTTCCTCTTCCCAGTCTAGCATTTTATCACTACAGACCTGGTTACAGCAAGGTTTACCAGCTGAGGCAGAACAAGTCAGATGCACGATTCTACACACTCACCACCAATCTAATTGTGCAGCTCACCGATTCTCTCTTACTCAGCTCTTTCCTCCATTACTAAGTAAAACATTAACGATTTATGGTAAAATAATGAGCACTGGGGAATAAGATGCCATTTTTCAGGGCTCACATCAGTGTTAATATTATTAAATAAAAAGCTGCCTAGTGATAACATCATTTCTTGAACTGATTTCTAGCAAAAATGCCATTGTCTTTTTCAATAGGCCCCAATGAATTTGTCCTCTTTAAAGAGAAATTGCCGTAAACCATTCCTTTTTTAAAAAAAAGCTCAACACAACATAAAACCATAAGCTAACATGCTCTGAGATATAAAACAATATTTTTGCTACCACTTTCCTTTTTTGCAGCTAAATCCTTTATCAAGACAGCTAGAACCTCGAAATGCCTCACCCTATTTGGTGTCTGGCATCATCTCTGTAATACGCTTCGAGATGTTACTCTATGTGAAGGGCGCTACTTAAATGCATGGTGTTGATTCTGATTATGCATAAATTGAACAAAATGGTATTATAGGTTTCAGAAGTTATTACATGGAGCCATACCTTGATATTACATAGAATTACATAGAATCTACCGCTCCAAAAAAGGTTGTTTGGCCCAACACGTCCGTGTTACTCCATCTAAGCCTCCGTTCATCCTAATGTACCCTCTCCAGCCTCCCTCCATTTCTCGCTATTCCCTTCTCTCTCATGTTGGCATGTTCTGAAAGGATTTGTTGCTTTATCTTCCTCACAGGACAGCACATGCCAAGTCAAAGTCCGAGGGGGCTGTAGCAGCTGCTCAGAAAGCTCAGGAGGAATGTCAGCTCGCCAGGATCACTGCCAAAGAGTTCTCACCCTCCATCCAGCACCCAGGCAATGGTCAGTAAGTCACACCTGCACCTGTATAACCAACAGCTGTTTTTTTTTTAAAAAAGCATCCTTGTATCATGAATTGTGTTATGAATCATTTTATGAAAATCATCGGAAGTGAAATAGATTTTCTCATCATTCCTGCGATGCAAAATGGCAATAATTTCCCGTTTTCCTTAAACACACTCCAATTTCTTTACAGTTGTGTACAACCATTGTAATTTGATTCTGTTAAGTTCAGCCCAGAACACAAAAATCATTGTAAATTTCAGCTTCAAAACTGGAACTCTTATAATATTAAACTTTTTAAATTCAGTTCTTCCCAATCTTTCTGTTCGATTTCGATTTAAAATGAGAGAGGGTGCGATGCCACCTCCTATATTTGATTCATTTAAGGTGGACTGGAGACTTTTATATTGTTCTTTAATAATTGCAAAAGAATATAGTAATATAGAGCTTTATTTGATCTGAAAAATAATTTAAAAGCTATTTTTCTTTCTTATTATCATGGTGCTGATTGATGGTTCTATTGCATAGTTTCTAGAGGTTTTATTTTTTCCCATCCCAGAACTCCATCCCACAGTCCCTTCACCACACCCCTTCCCTCACCTACTTCAAGGTCCATCTCAAGGCTTTCCTCTTTGACTGCGCCCTTGGTCTTCTTCCAACCCCTCTGAAATTCAACCTCCAGCTTGGGTGCAAACCCTCGACTGTCCAGCACCTTGGGACGTCCTCCCGCTGTGACAAGCACTATATAAATCAAATTTGTTGTTGTATTAAATCTAGTGCTTAGACAATACCATGGGAATAACCAACTCTATTGGTTCCAAATTTATCAACAAGGTAAAACAACAAGGTAGTATTTATTCTTAGATTCTCTAACCCCAAGGGTAAGCAGTGGATCATTACAGAGGAACTGAATCCATTTTTGTAATGTTTTGCAATTCCAGATTTCTGCTTACGTCAGTAAAGCACGCTGCAGAGCCACAGAGTTGGGTTTAATCCCAACCTCCATCTTAATAATAAGATTGTTTAATTTACACTAAATACTGCTGAGATTGCTGCAACAACATCTGAAGTAATCTTCAATTGCACATAAAACATTGGTAAACTGATAATAAGAGGCTGGTTGGAAAGACTGATAAAGCCCCCCAATCTTTACAGGTGAAATGTGCTGAAAACAAAATCCTTACTTCTGCGAAACAATTGATTGAATCCTTCCATTTCCAAAACACTCAAGAGATTTTTTTTCCCTCTTATGCAACTTGCATGGTTCTGGATGGGAAAGGTCTATTGTCAGGTTCTCCCCCACCCTTCCTTAATTTTAGGTACTGTGTCATCCATCATTATCAAATCTTGCAGCCATGCCGAGAACCGAAGAAATTCATCACACAAACAGTGTCAGCTTTTGAGCAATAGCTTGTCTCAAACACACATGGGTGTGACATAGAAAATTTAACTGTAACGTTGTTGGAACACTTTTTCACAATTGGAGGATATCTCACTGGTGATGGTGACTTATAATGGATCTTTCCTGAAAGTGAATGGCCCATATCTCATACACATTAAAGGCACCAGTGAATTACGATGCTACTTTGTATATGGAAAGAATTCTTGAATTTCATCAAGAACGAGACAAGCCTTCATTAAATCACTCATTGTACTGCTGCTCGCTGCCAAACAGTAATTAACAAGCATGAATCATTCTTCTTTACTTGCTGTCTACACACTACTGTATGTGTAAATCAAACAATCAAATAAGAATTTACAAGGCATCCTCTCCCTCTAACTCTGCCAATGCAATGGAAAACTTGATTCACCAATTAAAACGGAAAGTATGAGAAACAGACAGGACAGAGCCTAATGGGGTTGTTAATGTAGAAGCAAATACAAAATCTCCCATTTTCCTCAACATCAATTTTGTGTAATAATATTTCTTCACCTACCTTTCTTGGACTAACGTTATTATTAAAAGGAACGTGTGTCTTAGCGAGATATAGAGCAAGGATTCGCAATGGTTTCTGTTTTAGGAATTCCTCAGCAGGTATCATAGTCTGTAAGTAGCCTGATAAAACAACAACAAAATGCTGAGCAATTAACACAATGCAAAGCAATATAATTTCCCCATTCTTCACATGATCCTTCTCTGGCACATTTGCATCTGCAAATTTTTAATGACATAAATTTGAAATTTAGTTTTGATGTAATAAACACTTTGCTTCAAATAATTGTTTATGCCAGCTTCAAAATCTATATGAAAAACTGTATATATTTATGTACTAACTATATCACAGTGCTAAAGGTAATCCCATAGTGCTGGTACATTGCACAGTATTTCTCCAGATTGCCCTGTTCTACCCGTTATGCCTTTAACTTTGTAGGGTTTCCAGAAGAGGTCCAGTTCTCCAAGTCCCATCGATGAGCTGATCAATCATCAAAAATGATTTGGATTACTGCAGACCTGCCTGGTTTACCTAATTCAGGACAAATCTTCTATTCCCACATCCAGCCCTAGATCAACTGAACTATTATCCTCCATGACATTTTAGTTAAGGATATGTATGAAGGAGGAAAATTGAAAAATATATCAAAGTGAAGTAAGAGAATAAAATTCTAATTACAGTAATTCTAAAACAAATCACATTGACCTTAAATGAATTAGAAAGAGAGATCTTGACAATTTTACAGCAAATTTCACCGCAGTTGTTGTCAACAACAATTGATAATGCCTTTCAGTTGTAGAAAACGTCTTGAAGAACATTACAGATTGAGATTAATTAGCAATGAAGTAAATGGTGTTATGGAGGCAAATGTGGCAGTTAATTTACGCCAGCAATGTCCTGTGAAAATAATTTTTAATTCACATTCTGCAACCGCGTGTATCGGTGCAATCCTTTCTTATTGTTTATACTTTATTACCAGTATCACAATTTAAAAGACACTCAAACTAGTGGAACCATGTTAATATCATGCTGCTAGACATACCCGGCCAACATTCAACAACAAATTAGAAACACCCTACAGGTATAAAAAGATTCATACTAGATATTTAAAGTCAAGTCGATGTTCCTGGTGTATGAGCCAATTCCTGTCAAAGTTTAATGAGCCATTCCTTTACATATATTCAAAATTGACATTGGCGCTGCTTGTAACCTAAGAATTCATTTTCTTGTGTTTATATCTATATATTTTATTAATCATACTGAACAGATTTCTGTATATCTTCGTTTCTTTCTCAACTTCATTCCTTTTCAATTATTTGTAAAATCCTTATGAGAATCCCTTCCCTGTGTAAACAAAATGGCACATTTCAATTGTTTACTCAGGATGTTAACCCTCTTCCCATGTGATAGTCTGATGTACCCTGGAACTATTCGTCTGCAGTTGTTTCATCACAAGAGGGCAGTGCTCTTCCTTCCTGCAGTGTCTGCAGAGAAATACAGTTCAGCATTGGCATAATGAATAATAGTCCTTGTATTTGATATCGTACCTTATCTCGTCTTCGATACGTCTCAAAACGCTTCACAGAACATACTGTAAAGTGAATTGATTGTGTATTTTGTGGGCGAAACACGGCAACCAATTGTGCACAGCAGTGTTGCACAAACAGTCATGGATTGAGTGACCAAATTACTTTCATTTATTTTGAATGAATTATTTTGAAGGCCTAGGTGCATTATTGGGGAACGTATGCTTGGAATCTCTTGCTTAAACTATGCTTGGAATGGAACAAAATGTGTTACAGAAAGGAGGGTTTATAGACCTTTCTTTTCGGCCGCGCCTTTGGTCACCTTCCCGCCCCCCCTCCCCCTGGCTCGGTCCCGGGATCCGAAACTGTAAAGCGCTCTGAGACGCCGTCTGGCGTGGAGGGCGTTATATAAATACAAGTTGTTGTTGTTATTGTATAGATGAACTACTCAATATAGGTTAACATAGACTGGAACTTTATGCAACAGGTGATAAATCAGAGGCATTGTGCTGTCGTGAATATCTACGGCATTTTTAAAACACAAACATCCGACTCAGATTGGGAGTAATTGCTTCCAACCAAGACTAATATCTATGGATCTCAAAATCATTACCTCCATTTATTCGACAATAAAAACTATTAATGGGCACCAGTATACTTGCCATGATTGTTACAGGTCAGAAAATATGCATGATTGTATTTATCAATAATGAGACCAGTTCCTGCTTTGGTTTCTTTTTAAATGAGAAATGATGTGTGTACTGTAAACTCTAATTACAGTTGAAATCAGAAATGATGTGTGTAGAGTAGTGCGAATATATAGGATTTACGAGTTGTGTTAACGCTGACTTCTTTTACCCCCATCAGGGATTGAGTATCAGAGGCCAAAACACCAGAACTCAACTGACAATGAAATAGATAGGATCTCATCGGAAAGTCTAGCCCAGCAAGAGAGTCCAGAACTGTACAGGAAGGGAACAACACCTCCCGATCTTACTCCAGAGAACAGCCCTGTGCCAAGCCGGACATTGACTCCACCAGCCGGCTCCCCACCAAAGTACAGAAATAAAAGTTCGAGGTTGGTGAGACACTTGGACTCCGAAAATGATCAGGGCCAAGATATTCAAGTGTTACTGGAAGGAGGGAGGGGCGAGTACCTAAGGTCAAGTAACTGGAACGAGAAACAGTCGGGCGGCAGCAGTAGGGGAGGCAGCAAAGGAAGCAGCCTCTCAAATACATCTTCCTTGTCTGAGGAGATCAGGGGAAGAGGCAGTGGCTGCAAATACTCTTCTTCCAACCACAGGCCCACGGAGAGAGAGACGGAATCGCCAACCATTTCATGGACATCATACCGCTCACATAATCATTCAGGGAACAGGCTGCATGAGCAGGACGAAGAAAAGTTTAGCAACTATGAAATGGAGATGAAACCCCTAAGACGCAGGGATTCCTACGTGCAAGACACGTTTTCGGAAAAGCACTGCAGTAACTTCAGCCCCAAGAACCTAATGGAAGATTACCACCCAGACTTTCTCAGCTATGGAGTTCAGAGGCTAAGGGCCACATCACAAAATAAAGAGAACTTCAAATCCGCATCCCCCTCTGAGACCAACGTACAAAGGCTGGAGAACCTCAGAGTGAATGTAAAATTGGAGTCTCGACCGCCAAGGCATGACAATAGTGCATCATCAAAGTCAGTAACTGCTCTACAGTCTGAAGAGGAAGTTATGATTCCATATAAATCTAATTCAGTAAGTCATCGGTAAAGGTCTACACTTGTAGATAAACTATATTTTCAGACCTTGATAAGGTCAACTCAATTTTGCTGGCAGAGAGCGAGAGAGAGAGAGAGAAAAAAAAATCAGATAAACTTGCATGAAACAAATCGCTGCCCAGAAGAGTTGGACCTGGGGCGGAGGGGTACCAACAAAATGTCTACTTGATGGCCCGCAGTCCCTCTAACACCCTTTAACAAACACGGTCTAATCTTAAAGTGTTTGTACTCATATGAGTTGGAGATGGTCTCCTTTAATGTTATATTGAGTTGGAGAGGTTGTGAGGATCTGCTTCCATGCATACCCACCCCACCCCTTCCATCGTCTTGTAACTGGAACCCATTCCTCAGGTCCCTTCCTCTGCCCAGCCTACTGACACAGAGGCGACCAGTAACCAGGAATTGACATGCTTTGCAATGGGGTTCTAGATTGTGGAGGTTTGGTATTCAGGGGTGGGTTTGAAGTGTGTGAGTATCACTGGGTCAGCGTGATGGGGAGGAGAGAGGAATGGTTGGACAGTGCCAGATTTAAAAGTAACACAAGTTGTGAAAACAACTTTTATCCCAACAATTGTGGGGTCCGTACAGTTTTCACCACCCATGAGATAAAAAGGTTTCCCAGTCTAATTGAGTATCTGAGCTCACATTCAAGCAATGGGTCACCTGTATTGGTGTACTTGGATAATGGGAGTCTGAATTGCAAACAGTGATGATTGCAGAAGTTAATAGGGAGGCAGTGATATTAAAGAGCCCTGATGTTCACCAAAAAAAGAAGTCTTAGCACCGATACCATCAAATCCAATGAGGCAGACATAAAACATGCTATGATTTTTGCAGGGTGTACTGATTTGATAGATGTGTAGAAGCTGACCGTTCTTTGATTCAAGCCTTAGATTGAATTTGAGAGTTTTTTTTGGTTGCTTTTTGAACATCCACAATAGATTAGAAATGAACTCTGAGACATTCATCCCAAATTGCATTTCGCACCCTTTTTATTCCATCTCCAATGAGTAACTTATAAACCCATACTGAACCAATCCTTGGAACGCTATTGGAATCTGCTTCAGTGACCTTGCATTAGCTCGTTATCAAAAGCAGAACCATGGCTTGCTTCCACGCCTCGGTACACACGCTTGGGATCTGCTGATTCATTACAATAACCACCATTATTCTTTGTCAGCCAGTTACCTTAGCAACAATTTATACCTTCCTGACATCCTCTGTGTTAAGTGGAGGAATCTGAAGTGAACAGAATTACCTGAACCTGGATAAAATTACTTCAAATAGAAAATAGCTCAAAGGTAACCTAATTTTTTTTTTTGAAACAGCTAAAACAAAACGGGAGGATTTGGTTTTCAAGAGCATGTATTCCACAAAGCTGGACATAATTCTTCCCCTAACAAAGGTAGACAGAATCCTTTTCATTATAGAGACAAAGGCTGACTAAAGTGGGCTGGTTAATCCAGGCTCAGGTTCAATCTGTTGCATTAGCTGCTTAATCTAAATTCCTACAGGAATCTAGGCCTCCACATATGCAGCTGTTGAACAAGGCACTGGAAGGTGTACAGAAGTGGTACAGATTGACTCTGCCCTGATTTCTCTCCCTCAGGAGAATTGGCTTGGCTTCGGTTCTGCACACATCCCCAGACATCCTGACACTGTGTTGGTAAATCGCAGGAGAGAATAAATGTCTTGCCACTGTGCATGAGGGTAGGGCACGACTAATTTAATGGAAACTCTCCCTATCAAAGGTGCATCGTTCATACCACAGTGCAATTTAGGTTGGGTGAGTTTTCTTCTTAAAAAGTGATAAGCAAATCGTAAGTAACAGATGGGCATATTTATTTGGAATCCTCTCTGTGGTACTATAGTGAAAAATGACCTGATGTACACTTCTCATAATATTTTTTTTCTTTTCTCCTCCAGGGCTCCAATCCCATCCTGGTTGCTATGGTGATTTTGCTAAACATCGGTGTCGCCATTTTGTTTATTCACTTTTTTATTTGAATGCCTATTGTCAACTTAACAAGGGAAAACACAAAACTGTTAGAGAGAACTGATGCATTTCAATCTGAAGTCAGCTTTTACTGAGAACATGGTCAAATTCTTCACATTTTGCCTTTCCTAGATAACAGTACTGGATTTTAGTCATATTTAATGGTAAATAAATAAAATAGATCGCTCTGTGGCATGACAGAATGGTGAAATGTGCTTCCCATTACTTCAAAGTTTAACAAGCCTTGTTTGAAGAAAACTGTAGGTATGAGAGGAGGAAGGGAATATTACCTTAGTTATTACTTCAAGAAATTCAAGATGACGAAAAGGCCATTTTCTTATCAATGAGAATTTTACTCTGAATGTACTTAAGATACTGTATCTTGTAGTATCACTTTTGTTGGTCTACTCAAGGGGGAGGTTAGAAATCACGTTTACATGTAGAAGGTTATTAGAATATGGAATTCTTTGCCATAAGTGACAGAGGCTTTGACCAGAACTACATTTAAAAGGAAATTGGGTAAACATTTGAAAAGGAAGCTCTTATACAGTGTATGGGGAAAGAGCAGGGAACTGAATTGGAATACAAAAAGTTAGCTCCAGTGGATGAGTGGGGAACGAGATGGATTGAATGGCCTTTATCTGTGCTATAATCCTATGATTGTATAACACTTCCAAACTATAATAATGATCCCTCATTTATTTCAGTATTGCAGAAACAATTACAGCATTTAAAAATATAGAAATTCAATCAATTAAAATGAAAGAAATTAACAAAACGGGTCTTCCAAAAACTGGATTATTTTAACGGATTATTTTATTAATTTAAATCTGAAGATTTGCATTTGATTGTTTCTTCAAAGCAAGTTGCATTTTGTAGTTCAACGCATAAAATTGTAGGATCTTTTCCAAAGATTCAATTCAGCTCTCGTCTGACATGTTTTGAAATGGTTGAGAATTTTTTATTTTATATTTAAAAACTTGAAAATAGATAGGACGGCCGCATTTTGAGATCTGACTTGGGGGAAAGGAGAGAGAATCAGATAGATTATAACTTCCACCTTAGTAGTCCAACAAAAAGAGATTGTCAGGGAAAAAAAATGTTTCTTTGATCAGGCATTAATCTTGTTGAAAATGAGCTTTCCCTAATTTCAAGGAATTATTTTTACAGCCATTTAGATGCAAACATTTGAACGAGATGATCAATGAATTAGCAGCATTTCTGAAGACATATACAATACAAATTTACATTTATATAGCGCCTTTCATGTTTGGAGGATGTCCCACAGCAGCTTATTTTCCAGCTGTACCAATTATTTATTATACTCAAGAATGTAATTGGTTATTGCTATTATTGTTATGCAGGCATCGGGTATTTAAGGCTTCAGGAATGATGAGGTTGCCTAATATCCTTTGCAGAGAGATGAAAGGAGTTCAACTCTTACACTTCTGTTTGAGCGTTTCTGCTCCAGCATTTTTGACATCAATTCCCTCACAGGAAACATAGGAGTGAACCAACACCATTCACAAGTGATTCATACATTCTTCAACACAGAACCTCAACGGCAAAGCAGGTCTGTTCAAGGGGAAGAACGTTAATTTACACAGCTCCTTGATATTTTAGACCACATTTCAATTTGATCTTTTGGTTTTGTATTCCTGCTCCCGCTGTATGGAATTCGAACCAGGCTGTTTAAAAAAGAAAGGTCCCACTTAGCTTTTATCACAATCCACAAAATTAAGGAGAAACTCATTTTCAAAAGGAATAGTTGATTTCCCTGATGTGTTTGCCCTCCAAACTGATAGATGTTTATTTTGATGCAGTTTGGTCACTTAATTCTTGAGCCTCACTTGTTTCACATCCAGTCCCTTTTTAAAATTCTCCCCCCCATCTCCAAAAAAAAGTTGATCCAGTGGAGGATAATTCTAATGTTAATTCTGGGCAGCTTCTGCCTGTTCCTCTCGGTATCTGACTGCCCAGCGGAAATACTTTGAATTCACTGATAATGTTACATCAACTGGAAAATTATTATTTCTGAACAGAAACTTAAAGCAAGGTCGCTTTTAAATCTTAATGGGGTGGGGGGTTGTTTTTTTACAAGGAGAAATGTACGAAAGTGGGTGGACATCACTTATGATGATGCCATCATGTTTCTAGTCAAAACTAATGTAGCAAAATTCAGGCTTGGTAAAGACTCGCCTCGTCTGAATTGGACTTGTATGGGTATTTGCCCAGTGTTACAAACAAGTGTAAAACAAGGATTAGTGCATAAGTGACGATCATTCACAGGAATTAGGTGTCTGTTGTGTTACTCAATCCTCGGATGATATAGTTTGTTTATTCTGTGTACATATTTTTAGTTTCAAATAGTTACATGGATCTAAAAGTAAATTAAAATCATTGATGAGAGATGAACTGACATAAGAAAGCAAAAACACCGAAATTGCTCTCATAAGCAGTTATGACACTTGTTCGTAAGATAGCCTGTATGCTACAGGTGCTTGGCATAAATTACATTTATGCATGTTATAGATTTTTAAACTGGGAAACCATCCTTCTTAAACTCAGCTTTATTTCAGTGAGGTCCAGTACTGCAAGTAATAATTTAATACAGAAGTACAGTATAAAGATTTCAGCTTCTCACTGTACTGGATGAAATGTTTATTTTGTGTGTGTTTCATCTAAATTAACATTTTGAATGCAATTTTTAAACATATGTACGAACAAAGGAAAACAAAAAAATCACCAAGTTAACAAAACTGCTGGAGCCATTGCAATTAACTCATCAAATTTGGAGTGCTGTGAATTATTTCGATCATCCTAGCAGTGAAGCTTTTTCGATTTAACCTACTTGATCTCAATGAGTGCATGACGTTCTTCCACTTCCGCTGATAACCCTTTGGGTAGAGTATCCTATTCAGCCGTATTGTATTCTGAAGCTACACTTGTATGAGAATTGCTATTTACCTATGTTGGGAGTAGATGTTCCCAAAAACTGAGGGCTAGATTTTCCACTATCGATTGTGAATACAGCAACAGTTCATTTAGTCTTTTAAGTGTTTATTTTACAGTGTTCATTGTGATTTGAGGTTAAATATACAAATTACAGGGTTGCCCAAATTAAGACATTTATTCTAGAATCATCAGAAATAATTAGAACAATGGTGTGAACAATATCTTATTTCAACCATTCAAAAAGTGTTTATCTGGGGAGCTTTTTTGCACTCAGATTGCAACATTTCAATCATGTCTTTCTTCATGACTGAATTTAGATATTGACCTCAGCAGGATCCTTACATTTTGATAAATATTTTTAATTCATCAGAATACTTAAGGCGATCACATAATAATCAATAAGCTCTGCATTGGAGAAGAGTGATACCTTTTATTCGGGAGATGTGTGCATCAAAAAACTACTCAAAGTCAATTCTTTTTGTAAAAAAAAATTATTTGTATCAAAAAGTATCCTGTCTCACTGATGTTCACGTAATGTTTTCACGTACATCAACCATTTTTACCAGAGTCAGAATAGAATCAACGAACAGAAAACATACCTTTTATAAACCCAAGCTTCTGTAGTTTAGGAATGCAAAAGAACATTTTAATAACCCTGGCATTTGATATAGCGCCTTTCACGTCAGGAGGAGATCTCAAAGCTCTTCACAAGATTTGCTGTAAACTGTAGTGACTGTATTTTGAACTCTAAACTCTAAACAACCCATTTGACCAAACAAACTTTCCCCTGATCTCAGCCATGGATCACCCATTGCCTTCTCAGCACATTCCTCAATTCCCTTCCCCAGAAACATGTCTAATTGTTTCTGGAACCTATTATTCAATATTATTCAATCTTTTGTATAAAATTTGTGCTTATTTACTCCTAATTTTTAAATACTACCCACACTGGCGTTAAAGTTTTTAATGTTATTCCACTGGAATAGAAACTTTCCTGAATGATATGCAGAGCAGTGCCCAAGAATAAAAGTAGAGAATTAGATAATTGAACACTTTTGTAATTGGCAGAGTGAGATCTTACACAAAATTACATAGAATGACACAACATGGAAATGGGCCAAACAGTCTGCGCTGGTGTTTATACTCCGCCTGAACCTCCACTCATTCTAATTTTCTCTCCTGTATCCTTCCATTCCCCCTTGTGTATGCTTGATTTGAGGTAAAATGTAGATATTTCGTATAGCGCAGTCTCAGTATATAAGTAACACCAGATGTACCATAGCAGCAGCCAACTTCACCATGATAATTCAGAGAGTATCAACAGGCAGGTGTAATAATACAGTAACTGTTAAAGTCAAGAGACTGCAAATGAGGAAATAACTGAGAAAAAAAATACACACAGGTTGATTTCTTAGCATGGTCTGAAATTTGTGTACACATATTGATGTAGCTGTATGTCTAACAATCATAGTAGCTCACTTTCGTAGCAGAGAAAAATCAGAAATTGGAAATACTTTTTAACTACTTAGTCATACCTTGTGTTGCGATAAGGTATGTGGTCTGTTATCCACCTAACGGCAGTAAAGGTAACGAGTGACCTTTCAAGCTTGCCTTATAGCATGGAAGGCCATTATAACATTGTTGTACATATCATCTTAAGAGAAGGTATCACTCATCAGATTCACTTAGAATTTAACTGAAAAACTGTACTGCATCGTTAAAAAGTAGACAAACCTTATTGGACTAATTGATTATGAAAACAACCATAGCAGTGATGTTTTACTAATCTTCTAACCCTTTTGAAGGGAAATTAAATTGGTTTAAAAAATTTAATTCATTCAAGTTCAAAAGGTGTGTAAATTGGTGCAAGGTTTCAAGAGTTATGCATCAACAAAGCTTATGTTAAATATGACAAATGTTCCTATTTCTGAGCCCTTAAATCTACCCATTTAAATATATGGTCAATAATGTGCATGTTTTCACCCTAATTAATTTATTTTACAACATTTGAATTGTACTGCAGTAATTCTTTTACAGATGAATCCTGGATCATCCTGCGTGACTTCTCTGGTTGGTATTTTGGTTGTGTGAAGTTGATGTGAAATGTACATGTTGGAGATGGGATACTGCAGTGTGAAATCAGCACATCGAAGCTAAGTGGACCTCAGATACACAATTCTGTTTGTGTACAATACCCAGCTGGAGAAAACTCACCAACGTTCAGTCCAATGTACAGCTTCTGTTTGTTTAAAACTCTGCTGAACACTGCATGACACAGAGTTACCTGCAGTTGATAACATGCAAACTAAAACTTTGTTGAAATATACACTTTGCCTCAGACAGCACAAAAATGCCTATCATGATAGACAAATTGTTGCCTTTTGTGACTTATGAAGTACAGTTAAATGGTATGAATCTGTCAGTTTTTTCAACATAAAAACTTTTTTGCATGTAAGCAGACGTTTACTCTCTGGTAATGTGTGAAGATTTTATGCTTCAAAAAGGGAATGTTGACTTATAAATTATATTCTTTCTGATTTAATTTTAAAGAAATGCCTCTAAGTTACCTCAATTCTTTGTCTTTTTTTTCTCTTATTGATCTCTCAGTTACTCACTCCATCTATCGAAAATGCCCTGCTTCTTGAATATTCCACCCTTTTCAATCTTAGTGATGTGACGTTTAGTACAGAGTCATGTGTGTGCGAAATGTTGATTGATTTCCCTTGATCCCCAGTACACACATGTTATTTGCTATCATGTATCCTCCAGCCACGAGGACAGGCTAATCCACACTGCTGACTTTATCCACAGCTGCCCCAAGAATATCTGACAACAGAAAATATTCTGGACTATACATTACATTTTGTCAGCTCAGCGGACCCTTACCCCTCCTCCCAAAGTCATTGAAATGGGTGATAACTAAATAAACCCAGAGACAGTGAGTTCAACTGACTGGCAAAGATGGAAATAGGCATTGCTGTCTTAAATTTAGATGGGGATCCTTCAATTGTGCATATTTTCCCATACAGTACACCTGTCTGCAAGGCCACAATCTAATAGTTCAAGCTGCTGGCATGAATGCCGTTGATCTTCAATGCTCTCTTTTAACTCGTATGACTCATAAACCTGGGGATAAAAGGGCTTTGCTAGTTTTTGTGCTTCAGACTTCTACTTCTTGTTGTTTTTGGTTTCTCACCATTCACCCAGGAGAGTTCCGAGAGGCTTTAACCAATCCCGCTTTGTTTCAGCAAACAGGTGGGCTGTTTTGTCCATCACTGGACAGTAATCCTAAAATCTCTCTCACTCCCAAAATAGCGTTCTGTCAAAAAGGTTATGATGAAACTGAAACAGAAAGGTCATCGAAAATGCAGTGTCAAGATGGGTACTATGTGGATTTATGCCCACGTTTCTTTAAATGATAAGTTCCTAATCTCATTCTAAATGATAAATTCTTAATCTCATTGTTGACCTACATTGTTGCCCCATTCATTTTCCCCACAAGGAGGGAGGGAGCACGAGAGGGAGGGTAAAATTGGAGGATCCGCTATTCTTGTCCGTTTCTGCAAATCTCTCAGCAATCTCTGGCCGTTCATGTCCCCAGGAATAGCTCCTGACAATCCATTTAACAAAGAGTAAACACAACATAATAGTATAAAAATCCTTGCATTTGATATAGCGCTTTTCACGTCTTCTAGACGTGAAAGTGCTTCACAGAGTATACCTTAAATTGAATTGACTGTATATTTAAGCGAAACACGGCAGCCAATTGCGCACAGCAGTGTCTCACAAACAATCGTGGATTGAAGTGACCAATTTTATTATTGTTTTTTTTCCCCTCGAGGGATTATTATTAACATGGGGACAAAGGAGAACAAGAATATTCACCCCATTCTGCATCTAGCATCTCACTGTCTGCTGACAATCCCCAAAGTATTCCAATATCCAACTCATGTAAATTTATACTTGTAAAAGCATGTTCACTGTTGTTTACAATGGATCTGCCCTTTTTGTTCCTTCCCATTGCCCTGAACCTGACCTCCCATGGCACTTATTCAAGGCTTCCTGTGTTTCACCTTTGGCTCTGCTGTTCCTATAGTTCCAATTCTCTACCTGTAATCACTGTTTTATTACCTACCTCATCTCAAGAGACAATTCTGTTAATTAATGTGATACAATGAGACTGATCCTCCACTGTTTAATGAAGCACTTACATTTTGTTCTGAGGAAGAATTCCCAGCTGTTTAGGAAGCTGGACCTCTTGAAACAGCAGAGAGTACCAAAGCATTTAAAACAACTGGTGCTTCTGTATTGCGCATTTTCATCACAGCTAGGAGTGATTTTGAAACATTTCCCCATTTTACAAATAATCAAACATGCCTTGGTCAGTTAAAGCTGGGTCTAATACAACACAAATCTCACCTCTGCGATGATCCAATACTATCTCTACCAGTGGAGGTTTTTTTTTTGGTGATGCAACTTGCCTGAATGCAGCACATTTCAATGAATTTGGGGAGGACAAGTTTGCAGGGCTATTGGGAGAAAGCGGGGAATTGGGATCGATTTGGATAGCTCTTTTAAAAAAGCCGGCACAGACACAATGGGCCAAATGACCTCCTTCTGTGCGGAATAATTCTATGAATTTAGGAGTTCTGAGTTTCAGCTTCAGATAACTTCCCCACTTGGGTGGCTTAATTCCTGAATTATAGCTTCCGATTCTGGTTCTGTCACTAGGTACAGTCCAGAAACGAGGTCTGAAGCCTAATAACTAGGAGGAATGCAAAATCAGGAACGATTCCATTTTGTCACATTTCAGCACCACCAAAGAACAGGCTGAAAAACAGCCGTGAAGAGAGCTGTGGAGATGACCATCACTTTTCTACTTGTCCTTTCAGAGGCTGTCAAGGGAATAATATCAGACACTAAAAGACAAGCTGGAGGGGATGGACAAGAGTATCCATCACTGGAGTTTTGACATCTCATTTTGTTTCCTTTTAGTATTTTCGAGCAAGATTTCAGAAATAAAATAGAGATGAATTGTTGTAGTCTTCTGCCGTCTCATCCTTCCCCCTCCCCCCACACCACCGATGGATTTAAAATGTCCAATCATTTCACGCTATCAAACTACATCTTTTACACAATACAAATTTACACAAGCATCTTTCACGTGGAGGGGACGTCCCAAGTTGCTTAATAATGCTGCACCCTTGCTGGATGAATAAAGAATGAAAGTGATTTGTGGGTTAGATTTATAGCAATCACAAGTGGGAGTCATTTTTTTTTAAAAAAGGAAGTGTCCCCAGAAATAATGGTCAACAGAAAAAAGAAATTCGGAATAGTGAAAGAGCAGTAGTAGAGTTTCTTCGTAGACTGAAGTCAACTGGTGGTAAGAACAATAATTTATCGTTTCAAATCAGTTCAATGAACAGTCAATGAGTTTTTAGATGAGAAATAAGTCTGCCTACAGATTTTTGTTAGTAACATTTTAGGATAATGCAATGGAGTTTCTGATCATTTATCACATGAGGTTAGCAGATCGCAAAGTAGCAAATCAGAATGACAGTACAGATGAAAAACATATGCGGGTGTAAAGGTTAGATAGGAGAGATACCAGAAGATTAAACGGATTTTCTGATTACATTTTTCACCTAAACAATTTATGTGTATTGACTGGGATAAATTCTCACTTACATGAAGTCCAAGGTATTTAAATCAGACCTTTTTGAATGCTATGATTTGATTCTAGGTGATCAATAATTCTGCATCTTAGAGAAAATAAAATAGATTTGCTTTTGCAGAATATTGGTAGAGAGATCATCATTCACTGTCAGTTTTGACAGGAAATTAATACCTATTTGATGAAGGTTTTAGTCAGCAGATGACTAACTTTCTTTCTACCCTCAAACCACATGAGCCTGAGACTTATTTTGGAGGAGGGAAAAAAAACATTCTCTATGCTTAGCACACATATGGGAAACAAAATGCTTCCTAGGACGCTGAAAACATAACGGGAGAACATTTTCTGATGTTGAACATAATGGGCCATTAGAACCATGTTAAGACACTTTTGAAAGGACAGAAAGCTCAAGGAGCTACTTCAGTAGATCTTTGATAATGTAAAAAGCTGCAAAATACAAATCATTACTTTTTTGTTCTTAATTTAAATTGCCAGTTACAAGGTACAACAATGAGAAAATATGCAGATGCTTGTTGGGTGAAAGCCTAATTGGTATTTTGTAGAGAAAGTTAATTGACCAGAGTGGTTTGAAAAACTTTTGGAATATGCAATATTTAAAAGTTCTGCCTGGAACATGTGGTGATGACACGAGCTTGGATTTCACATCATTAACTTAGTTTGTGTAACAGTAATATGAATCATTTCCCAGTCAATTTTTTTTTTGCATTTTTTTTCCCTATAATACAGAAATTAGAGGTCGAGAACATTGAATCAGCCCTACCATTAATCACACCTCTGGAATACTGTCTGGCTCAACAGGAGACTGTGCGCGGCTTCACTAAAACGGCACAGGGTCCCTTGTGGGAGATAGTAATTATAATAATACAGGAATGAGAGAGTGATTTGCTTTTGGAAATGAGTGGAGTTATTTTCTTGCTACAGATGATGTAAAGCAGACAGAGTTCTTTCTTCAGAGCTGAAGGAGGTGTTTGCTCCCGTTGGTAATAATATTAGTGACTGGCATACTTTATCAGTATTTACAGGCAAACGATTAGAAACTGTAAAGTTTCGTGCACCCCATATAATGTTGTAAAATGTCTGAATTTGATATCCACCCCTCCACACAACTGCTGAGCAGGGAACTTGCAAAGGGTATGGTAGATGCTGGAATTGCCAGGAAGTTTAGATTGAGATGAGCTCATGAGAATATTGTCCCCATTAATCCAGGACAGGGTGAAGCAAGGAGAGACAATAAAAATATACGTAAACAAGAATCAAAGTGTGATTTACCAACAGCAATGAGCAGCAGTTTATTACCCTTTCCTTCACAAGGTGAATTGCTTCAGGAATCGACTACCCACTACCAAAGAAAGACGCATATTCTGTACAACTGGTACAAACATCAACCAAAACCACCAAGAAAGAAAAATTGTACCCTTTGGAACAATTGCAAAGTCGTCCCTCTGTATATTTCCCTTCTATGTGGAGAAGAAACCATGGCCTCCCTCCTCAAGCAATGAACCAGCCAGTCTGCAAAACCTTCTCCCCAAGTTACACAGCACAAATAGACTCCAGTTGAATCCATTACCCAAATTACAAATTAGTGATTAAGGAGTTTATTCTTTCCACCTGGAATTCATTTACTAGAACAAGCAAAAAGTAAAGTTACCCCTCTGGTACTCTTAAAATAAAATGATTAAATGTTTTGAGCTGATCAGATTTGCTATACACTTCCAATGTTTAAGGAAATTATGCTAAAGGAGGATATTTTACGAATTTTGATAACATGAGCAGAAATTCTGCAGAAAGATACAGAACTACAAGCTACATTATAATCACTCCAATGTGGATATTTATCCAGAATTGACTGAATGAAGTTACATACCCATAATTTTTCCTATTGTGGTTTTCAAACAATCAAAGATAGCAATCATAATCTGTGTGAATACTTTTTTTTATTACTTCTACGGAGGTATACAAAAGAAACTTTGCACATAGTCCCTTATCAAATTGTCATAGCATTTCAGAGGATTTACTGTAAATTAGTGACCATGAATTTTTAGACATAAGTGGAAACCAATTTGGACACAGGACTGTCCCACCAACAGTCATGAAGTGAATGGACAAATTTATCCAGGGGATTATTGGCAGGAACACCACCAGGAATGCAAAAGAAAAATAAATCTAAATTTGTGATAGTTAAATCAGAGGATTTTTTTTATTTTCCTTGATGTAAGAGTACTTTAAACAAAACAGGCACCATTTGGCTTCAGTTTCATCATTCAGAATTTGGACAGCAGGGAAACAAATTGAATGGAAAAGGCGTTAAGAACCTGTGGGCACACTGTCAAGAGAAGAAATGGATTGCTGGAAAACTAAAGCCAGCAACTCTGCTATAACTGGATTTGGAGAGAAATACGTCCTACTGCAAATGAAATTCAAAATCAATTCCCTAGTAATTTAAATATACCCCCTCATTTAAAAGAAGCAGAAATTGCTTTAAAGTTTACAAAATAAAAAAAAATGCAATTCATTGAATTAAATCTAATTGCCCAGGTTGAAGTTGAAACCACAAGCAATAGTTCCCATCCATAAATAAATGAGCAATGTTTCAAGTTTATCGTCCCTTTACTTCTGATTATCAAAAACGTCATCGTAAAAAGCTTTTGCCATGGCCTGCGCAACTTTTAAAATCTTTTTCTCTTTCACGTCCTGGCCCATATTGTCTCTGGCAAGTTTCACCCAGTAAGGTTCGGTCCTGGACAAGTATTCGGGGTAAGCTTCTGCTGCTTGGACTGGAGGGTGATCACTTTCTGTCAAGGCAAAAACAAGCGATTGTTAAAATGTTATATTATCAACAGCTGTACTGATATCAACATTTCCAGTTTCCACAGAATTATGAAATCTTATAGTTTGCACCTCTGTTATTGCATAAATATCTTACAGCACAGGAGGCCATTCGGCCCATCTTTGAAAGACTAGCCAAATAGTCCCACTGCCCTGCTCTTACCCCATAGCCCTGCAAATTCATCAACAGTATTCTGTGTTCTGTGGTTTGAAACATCCCACGTTCACCCTCCCCGAGAATGTTGTGCCCAAATACTTGAGTCTACCTTCTTCATTTTAGTGGGCCAACCTCTTCCTTGATGATGCTGGGGAACAATTTATACATGTGGATATTCCAATTTGAAGGATAGATCACTTCTCCAAGTGGTGATGAGATGGATTTTCGATTGAATTCCTCCCACAGCAAAATAGCACACGGGCTCAAAACACTTGGCAGCAGGTGGTGCTGGTCAGGGACTTGTAAAACTGAGGATGGGCTGCTCCTCTAACAGGATTGGAGAATTTACAAACCTTGCAACTTGACCTTTTAAAAGAATAAGTGGACGGATATGTTTTTTGGATCCGCAGAATAGTGTATATCATTACCTTCTTGTTCATGTTCACTGCTGTCCTCCTCCCCCTCCTCTTCGTCTCCTCCTCCTTCAGCTCCTTCACACTCCTCCTCTTCCTCCGACTCTTCTTCTTCTAGCCACTCCTGGGTCTCTGATGAAAGGCAAAAACAGGTGAAACTGCAAGCCTCTCCAAGAGCTGAGAGAAAGACTCAAAGAATCTCAATATGCTCTCTTGCTGAGAACCACTGTGCAAGATAAAAAGGCAACTTTCCACTGATGCTTTTGATCTCATCAAGTATATGATGTCAGTTTCAACTTCAAGTCCTTCGAGAGCGTTTTCAAAACATGAACTTGTTGAAGATTCAGTTCAAGAGGCAGATGGTGCAAGGACTTTAGAAACAGCTGCTGATTATAGTTGAAGTTCCTCAATGAAGGACTGGAATACAGATCAAGGCAACTTACACTGCTTGCTTGTGTAATAGGGCTACACTGAACCAACCAATGCATAAATCACTTCCTGACCTAAACTGGAAATTTCTCAAATTAAAAATTCAAATGAAAATGTGCCTTGCAACACTGATTTCTATAACAAAGGTTGACCATTCATTTGCACGTTTTATGTGAATCAATAAAGTTTCTTCTGAAATATTTAAATACTGTAAAAAATCACGAATATTTACTGATCATGAGCCTCTGATTTTGTACTCGGGTTTTAAAAGATCTACTTTCATAATCAAAAGAAAATAAAAATAGCCTGCATCTGCATTATCCTCGTGGTTCAGCATTTTAAAAATCTGGATCATATTCTTCTTTTCATCAATGGAAAAAAAATCTCCATCTTGATTAAACATTGGCGAGGCTAAAGATTTTGTAATGTAATGGGAGTTCAAAGCATTTCATAACTATATATTTCAGTATTCTGATAAAAAATATAAATATTCACTGTACCTAAATTAGCTGGTCCTTTGGACCAAATTTGTGGCAGTTTTTAAGTCAGTACTCGGCACATTTTCCAGATAGACAGCTTCCGTTATTATCTATGCATCTTGCTGCAGTATAATCACAGCTCCTCAGCTTGTTAAACCCAGTGGAATAAAACTCGTGACATGAATTGCCAGAAAACTCACAACAAACAGCTCCTCAGCTCAATCTACTTTTTCCAGTTTTTCCTCACACACTATTGGAGCATATTAAATTGATTGACTGTGGATCTCAACACGAAATGGAGATTAAATCAGGCCCAACAACAACAAAACACAGAATCAACCAAACAGTGCACATACTTACTTGGATCAATTTCCACCAGAACCTTCCATTCATCCATTTTGTGTAGATCGATGCTGTAGAGGTCGTTTAATGTAAACTGCCTGTCTCCCACCTCAAACATCCCACCATAGACATACAGTATCCCGTACTTAATAGCTGTCATGGCATTCGACCTGGGACATGGCTCTATCATGCTGGCAGTCTCAGCATCTTCCTCCTCCTCATCCTCCTCTTCAGAGTCTGGTTTGGCCTCAGAACTAGCTACTGCCTGCTTAACAATCATCACAGTACCATCTTCAGCAACAATTTCTTTTATGATTTCTTTTACTCCCTCGGGTTCTTCATTGATCACCTCTCCCGCCCCATCTCCCTCCTCTTTCTTTGCACGTCTCCGTTTTTTCCTTTCACCTTTGTGTCTCTTCAACTGCCCCGCAAACCAGCGATTCTTTACCATATCGTAGAAATAAATGTCATTGAAAAACTCCCCTTGGAGATCTTCTTCTTCCTCCTCATCATACACGCCACCAAAAAGCACAGTCCTATTATTAGGGCCGATAGTCAGAGAGAACCCTGATCGTGGGGTTGGCTTCACTCCTGAAGCGTTCATGCGAACCCAGGTCCATTTATCTGAGGAATAAAAGAAAATCCATTTGAGAATGAGCTCAACAAGGAAATTTCATATGAAATACTATGTATTATACAGGAAGCAGAGCGTCATTCTATTATTTTCTGACATACAGATGATAAGTTTTAGCTTTCTAAAACTGAATGGAATAATGGTTTTACTTTTTGAGTTGGTAATTTTTTGCTATTTTTCCATCTATTTCACCTCCTTTCCTGAAGATGGTGATTTGCATTGTGGTTCTATCGTCTGATGGCTCTTCACTTTCGTGCCTGGACAGGAATCAAACTAAGTACCCACTGGAAGCCGCAATAACCAAGGCAGACTCCCTTCTAGCCCAACATTGGCACATACTTACAGACTTACCCACAGAGATCATTGTACAACAATCAGACTGCAAAACTGATCCAAATTTTCTCCCACTAATCTAGTCTGAGGACACGAAAACAAATTGTAGTATTACTAATACTGCCCGAGCCAACATCAGCATGCTCAGCACAAACCAGGGATCAAACCCCAGACATTTCTGGTCAAGACGGCTCATTGCCATACCACATAGCGCATTTACTTAGTGATACTCAATGATGGGTAACATGTCCTTTTTATTCAAATCATCCCTATTAAGTGATGCCGAGGTCAGAGCAATTCTTCCACAAAAAAAACTATGTGCAGGGAAAAGAAGCAGAAAATATTTATTTGGGAATTTCTGTCAGTTAACTTGTAGCTTTTTGTGATTTCTGAACCTTAAAGTTAAATTGAAAGATTTGAAATTACTGTCCAGAGAAATGGAGCAAAACTGACTGAGGGCCTGTGCCTATAAACTTTTCTTTAAAAAAGGAAATTGTGCATTTATTGTCAGTATGAGGTCAGCTAATGAATTCCAAATATGAACACAGGAAGCAACTAATTATTTATACATAAATAGCAAATGACATGCTTGTCTGCTGAACCTTCTGGCTGTATTTTTTGTTTTCCCTTTTGCTCCATTGCCCTGAGTAATTGGCTGTACTGGTTAAGTAAGCAGGGTTTCCTTGGGTCTTAGATAACTCCACTATGTATCGTGTGTAGCAACAGAATGCCGGCATTAAGTCAACCCTCTGTGGCAATCTCGGTATTACATTACATTGAGTTGGTGATAATTAGGTTGTGTGCTTGTATCTACTCTTTGCACAATGAAGAGACAATAAATTTTTTCCCTCCCATTTTATCATCTTATCATTGATGGCGGGTGGGGGGGGGGGGTGGGGAGATCAACAAGACCCAAAAGCTTGGTAATGCGATTTCATTTCAGTTCAAGCAGGGCTCACCGCACATATGGCCTGTTCCATTTTTGCAGATTTTACATGCATATGTTACTTTGTGGAGCCACTGACCTGATTCAGGATGGTTTCCATACAGTGACTAATCTGGACTAATCTGCTTTTTATATATTTGTGTTTAAACGTGTTTATAAGGAGGCTAGAGTAGCAAAACTGCAATTCTATTTCTGAAGCTGGAACATTCAGTTCCTGGAGAATCATTTCTACTTGTACATACATGTATATAAAAACATACCTTGTCCTTCCTTCCCCTCATTTTTCAGTAGAAACATGTCAGTGTGAACGGTGCCTTTTTCCACATCTTTCTTCACTCTCTGCACGATGAACAAGGCAAAATATTCTGTACATTTCATTTTCAAATTAACTGCGAAACTAGCAATACTGTGTTCCATTTAATGTAAGTACACACACACACACTTCTAGTTAGATTTTCACAGGCAATGCTTCTAAGCATCTTTTCAGATGCAACATATATTCACAAACAGAACTATGGACATACAACAAGATAAGGAACTTTAAACTTTGCACATTCTGTAAAATCAAATCTTTTTTATTTTGTAGATCAGTTGTTCAAGCTCAACTCTAAAGAAGATTATAAGTTTACGTTTGAGATTTTGCTGCAATTTATATGTCATTGCATTATAGGTGCATTTTTCAGGAATGTTATATTGTCAATGAAGATTAAAAAAAACTGTTTTAAAGCACCTGTAATGTCATTAATACGGGTTAGAAACTGCAAATTGACCTCATTACACAAAAAGTGATCCTATCATTGTACTGTACATTACTAACTTTGCTCACAAATATGCATCAAGTAATTCAAAAACAGACATTAGGACTGAAGAACCTTTTTACCAAGCTAAAAAGGCTAATGAGGAAATATTTGAGACAATTGGAAATAGCAGGAGCCTCTGCAAATATATCATCATTAGGATGTACAATAAATAACACCTGCTGTTACCTTCTGTCAGCTGTGTCACATGTGCTGTTTATGAATGTGGATGGTGTTTCACCTCAGTGATTTCTATTCTCTTATGCATGCAGCCCTGGCCTACACAAAGGGACTATCAGTGTGAAGATCTGCACAAACTAATATGACCTCCTCTTAGAATTACTGAGAATTCAGTTAACACTTTCCTGTCATGGATTCATCCAAGTACAAAGCTAAAGTCTTTAGACATTGGCCATTTGTATAGAGGTACAATTCAAAGCTGAAGTAACAAGATTAATGTAAGACTGCAAATAAGATCACTAATGCTGGTTCTTATTTCCTTATGATTTCACCAATCTACTTTTATTCTCATATTCTAACCCGAGACAATAAACTAGCCCCAAGTTTAAATCAGATTATTCTGAGGAAATATCCAATATTATACAATACTATCCTGTAGCAAAATTAAAAAATCTTGTATAGAAAACAGTATATCAAATGTATTTTATATAGTTCAAAACCTAATCTCCTTAAAAACATGTTAAATCAATTCTTACGCAAAATGAGTCTTAACATTTTATGATAAATAAGATAACAAACAATAAGATAATAAATAAATCTGAATTTGCAGTGTTTGTTTTGGACTTCGGCACATTCTGGAACACAGTGAAGCCAAAAGTGGTCAGACAAATAGCTGACTCACTGCTGCTGCTAAATGATAAGTTTCATTATACTTGGAATTTTGCTGACTTGGGACATTGAGAATAAGCTGTAAACTTCATTTAATGCTGCTTTAGAGATGTCAATTAGAACTTCTTAAATATTGTCACAGAGCTCCCTCTAGGCTTCAACAATTTTATATAGTGAGTAACTGAGCCATGAGGACCAGAAAGGTTCCATTTGACAGTTTGGGCTAAATTCAGTGGTCCCAGACAGGCAACAGTAGGGGCACGGAAAGGGGATAGAGAGAGGAAATCAACCAGCGTTGCTGCTCCTGATTGCTATTTAGTAGTCTTTGCTGGAAGGTACATTTATTTGGAAGTCCAGCTAGGACAAAAATCAGGGTTAGCTGTAATATCCTTTTTGTTGGGGAGATTGCTGACAATCACTGTTGAGGCTGCTACATGAACAAATACCACTTGGGAAGATGTGTTAGATCTGTCCCAGGAATGAGAAAACGGAATGGAAACACCTTTAAGAGAGGGGGTGGAAGGAAGAGAATTGGTCTGTGAAGGAAAATATGAACACTTTCAAGCCAAAAAGTACATGGAATTAATTGCATTTGCACATTCCCACATATAATATAACCAAGAAATCTAGATAACTATAGGTGAATCATGTTCACCTAATTTTTTAAAAAACAAAGCAATATTTTAATGTGACTTTAATATTTAATGACTTTAATGTAGTTTTTATTGGTACAACATCTTTTTGCTGTGCTACATGTTATATAATGCTAAACTAAACAAGTGGGAGTAAAAGAGTCTAGATGTGAATGACTCACCTGTTTAGAGTAACCTCCATATATTACTATATTGCCATCTGGAGTCACTGCCATCTGACACCCAGAGCGAGCGCTGGGCCCCATCCCACTGGCAGCCAACTTTGACCACGTCAACAAATCCAAATTAAACGAGTAAACATCATTGTAATAAACAAAATCCCTAACAGAAAAAGAAATGAAATGTTTTTAATCTCAAAAGTGATCTGCTAACTCTTGACGTGTTGCATCAAATTTGTATTTTCAACCCCATTTAACACAGAGTGAAATTCCCCTCCTCAAAAAATGTGAATTAACACGTTTTTTGTTCTCTCAAAACGACATAGTTCAGATTTTGAGAAATTAACACACACCAAAAAGCTCCACCAACAAAAAATACACTATTTGTTGCATGATGATCATTGAGAATCAATTTTTTGGATGTGTGGACATTGAAACAAATACGAGGGTAGCCGGTTACAGCACTCCATTTCATGCAGTGCGCCCTCATTTCTACTATGGATTCATGCTAACTGGCTCCCACGCAAATAAACAGCCAATTTTTCCAGGTAATCAGGTGGCCACTACGTTATGTTCTGCATGCATATGCGCTATTGCACAGGAACCTCCGCTGACTTCACTTGCATTAGTGCCGGTGACACCATTTCACATTTCACAAAGGAACTGACGTCAGCGACACTTCCTGTACACATATGCATGAAATGGCATTGGCATCAACCTAACTTCCTGGTAATCAATCTCTTTTATGCCTTTCTTATATGACATTGTTGCTGAGACTTTGAACCAACCCAACTGACCATTGTTTCCCATTAAGAGGTTTCCCTTTGGGCAATATTAATCAAATATTTCACTTCTAAACTCCTCATGTTCAAAAAGCAACTTACTTTGCACTCTCATGAAATCCACCAAACACTAAGATTTCTCTTTTGCGAGAAACCATCCGATGTCCACTTCTAGCTGATGGTCCTCCTGTTACTCTATTGACAGAAATAACAAAATCATGGTCAACACAATGTAGAAAATAAATATCTAACATTCTCTACTCTACAGTGCCCTTTTCCTTCCCCTTCAAAGACCAATTACTTATGGACTATGCTTTTCCAAACAGACAAATTTGGAATGGGCACGAAGGGCTGAATGACCTACTTCTGTGCTGTCAGTTCTACGATTCTGTAAGTTCTTATTGTAAGATTACGATTGCTGTTTTGAGATACAGGTGGAACTGCCTAAAGAAAGACTAGAATTGCTCGTCTTCCAGCATGATGGGGAACAATCAGCAGAACAATAGACTGATGACAGACCATCTCTTGCGGATTTATATTAAAGTTAAAATAAAAATTAGCTAACAATCAAAGTCATTCTAGGACATCTGTTCATTGAACAATTTAAGCCCCATTACCAGAAACATCATTCCAGCTATAACTTACTGGAACTGCTGCAATATATCATTTGTCAAAGCCTATGACCACCCTCTTGGCAGTCATTAACAGAGATGCAGTAAATGACAAAATATCAGTAGGAACTCCTTGCCACCCCAGTTGCTCTGCAGCATTTGGGGACGTTTACAAGAATCAGCGTCACTGAAACAAGAATACTAGTTTCTAATATTTTCCCAAACCCCAAATGACAGAGTTGCAATTTAAAAGCATGGTGAATATAATATTAATAATCCTTGCATTTGATATAGAGCATTTTACATCAGAAGGATGCCGCAAAGCGCTTTCCAGGATGTACTGTAAAATGCAGTGACTCTGTAGGCAATTGCCTATACGACCTATTCAACAGCAAACATTCTCAAACATTAAGTATTCTCTATTTAACAGAAAACTCGTGAAGAATAAATTATTCAATATATAACTTTCCACTTGAAATGCAGACCACGCTTTCCAAATTGGAAAATGTTGCATCCACGTTACACAGAACTCACCCCCACTTGTGAATTATTGTTCTTTGTTTATGGATTCAAATTTTTTGCCGACTGCTGCAGTAATTCTGATTTTTCTAATGTTTATTTTTCCACGCTGGTGACACAGTAGCGCATATTCAGCAGCTCCTATTCCTTATGAACAATGCAATTAGTTCAGCATTGTCAAGCAGCTGATGGCAATGTATGTAATCTTCAACGGCCAAAGAGAACGGGGTTCTGAATCATAGGAAATTGCAGGCTATTTTTGTGTTATTTTATTTCCAACCAAACCAAGTCTTCAGGGCTGTTGACCACCCACACACCTCCTGTAGACCTGAACCTCTCTCAACAAGAGGCAGCTCACAGCAGGTTCTTAAATGATTGACAAAGAATTCGAGTTCAAATACTTAAAAAATGCGTGCCAGAGAATTGTCCCTCTCCTCAGGGCATCAGAAGCTTATTTTAATTTATAGATTGATTCTGCAATTAATTTCATAATTATAAAGTCTTTGTATAAATTTACTAACGTAACATAAACAGTAATAAGCTACGCAGTTATTAATATCAGAGCAGCAATTTGGGCAACATTCCAATTTTAGACGTCAGGGCCACCCTAAAGTAGCAACAATATTATTCAAACATAAATATAGAAACTCCTCTGGAAGAGAAATAAAATAGAAAATCAGGATTTTTAAAAATGTTGTGTGCAGTCAGTTGTTTTGTTGGAAGAAGTACAGAATGTGTAATCCATGAAAATATTATGCTACTAGTTTTGTTTAGATTTATGGAGGGAAAAAGCATCCAGGCATAGTTTTTGATATCCAGTTCATGATCTCATCTTAACATGCTGGAATTATCTACCTCAGAAGGCTGTGGATGCTCAGTCCTTGCACATATTCAAGACTGAGGTTGATAGATTTCTAAAGGATAGAGAGATTAAGGTATATGGGGATAGGGCAGGTAAATAGAATTCAGTTAGAAAATCAGCTATGATCTTATTAAATGGCGGGGCAGGCTCGAGGGGCCAAATGGCCTACTCCTGCTCCTACGTCTTATGGTCCTGCTAATCCCCACTTTTCTAGTGGAAGGACTAACTATTTGGGGTCCAAGGAGGCTGTTCACAGATAGCAGCGGTATGCTTGTGCAGCCACCATCGATTGGAGATCCCACTGGGTGATTCCGATACCACATCCTGTAATTAGTAGAAATGTCTGCTTCAAACTATCCTGCCTCAAAGCCTTCGAATTTTTCAGTTTTTTTCCCGCAGGTTCTTTTTATTCCATCCCACTCCGTTTTTCCTTTCTTTCCCCCCCCTACCATCATCTCCCATATTCACAAATTAAAATAATTTCTCACGCACACAAAACCTGCTCACAGGGAAGATAAACAAAGGAAAGGGACATTGCCTCCTCTTAAACAGTTTACTGGTAAAAATGACATCTTACAACACCTAAATAACAATGAGCACGTAAGAGGTGGTTTAAATTTGAAATGAATTCATTTTCAATTCAGTGACCCTTGAGCTAGATACAGTGCTGTCATTACTAATAATCCTTGCATTTGATACAGCGCCTTATCACGTCTTCGAGACGTCTCAGTGTTTCGCAGAATATACTATAAAATGAGTTGACTGTATATTTTGAGAGGAGAAACACGGCAGCGAATTGCGCACAGCTGTCTCTCACAATCAGTCGTGGATTGAGTGACCAAATTATTATTTTTTCTTTAAAAAGAGATTATTACCCCTGGAAAAACCATCCGCCAATCGACTAACAACCGGGTTCCTACTAACTGTTAGGTGAACAGAGGCGTGTAGAGTAAGGAAACTTGTCCAACGTTTCGCCCTGTCGGGAATCGAACCTGGGTACTCCTGGTTGCGAGGCAAGTGCTACAACCACTAAGCGACAGGACTTTCATTATTGAAGAACAAAATCTGTTTATCCTCAAACTGCTGATCTTATCTAATGAATCTTTCATTTAAAGGATGCAACCAGCTTTATTCATCATAATAAAACGATTTAAATGAAAAATTGATTTTTTTAAAAAAAACACTAGGCAAACCCACAGCCGAGGACTAAGCAGCTCTGTTACCATTAGCAACAGAGCATCATTCAGTACTGTTCTGCTGCTGAGTCCAAGCATGCTGCGGATGGAGCTATCATAGAACCTTTGATTTACCTGGTAAATTACCTGGAATCACCAAGATCATAAGACCACTCTGCGGCCAAACCTCTATTCAACCATAATAATCCTTGCATTTGATATAGCACCTTATCACGCCTTTGAGATGTCTCAAAGCGCTTCACAGAATATACTGTAAAGTGAATTGACTGTATATTTTGTGTGTAAAATTCAACCCTCTAACCCAATTTAACACTTCTCTGAGGAACGGACATGCAAAAGATCAAAGCGACCGCTTTAATTATCGCTCACAAAAAGGCTGAACTCTGTTATCATCACTTCTCTTTGGAATAGCCCAAACATAATTTAACTCGTACACGTTTCAAACGAACTGAGTCTTCCTGATCGACTGTCAGCCCCAGCTTCAAACAGCCCTTAATCAACGAAAAGTTGAAAGTTGAAGATTAATCTGGTCACATCACAGACTCACACAGCAGATGTGCAACGTACATATGAACTGGAAGACAGATTAAAGGACACAACATCAATTACACTTTTGGAGGGTTTGATTATTAAATGCAGACTTGTTATTCTTTACCTAGTGCAGACATTTCTCTACACTGTGAGTGAGTTTTGACTTTAGGACTTCAGCAGCATTTTGCACCAAACTAACTGGTCACAATTGGGTAACGTGCAAAAGAGAAAATATTCTACAATAAGGTGTTAATTCTTACTTTATGTGCTCCCACTTCTTGCTGACCAGATGCAATACCCATAGATCCTTGTAATGGTAAAATTGTTCACCATCTGGGGATGCAAATTCTCCTCCAAACACCCAGAGCTGCCCACCAGCTTGAGGGACCATCACAGCCTTTGAAAATAACAGAATACATGCAGAATTACTTGTGTAAGAATACGTCACATCACATAAACTATAATAAATTGGTCATTTTCAATCCACGGCTGTTTGTGGGACACTGCTGAGCACAATTGGCTGCCGCGTTTCACCCACAAATATACAGTCAATTCACTTTACAGCATATTCTGTGAAGCGCTTTGAGACGTCTAGAAGACATGAAATGCTCTATATCAAATAATCAGTATTATTATTATTATAAATGTGCATTATCGGGGAGAAAGAAAGCACGGCAATGCAACACATTAGATCACCATTGGGAGCAATTTCTTTTTATTTGTGCACGCGCAGATTCCCAGCCATTTGATTTCTCCATTTGTGTATCAGTCAAGACAGTTGTGGCCATGGACCCTCAGACCACATTTAACCATCCTCAATGCTGCAGAAGAATGTGAGGCAAACAAACCATGGCATGGGGCTCGGGGTAACATAAGATAGAAGGTAAAGAAAAACTGGAAAATTGTTGTATATAGCTGATCCACAAAAAGAACATGCAAGAAGTTTTTCCCAACATTGTTGTGACATCCTTACCTTAATATTACTATTATTAAGTCAAAATTGGGTACTGCCAAATCCATTACAAATGTTTATGTTCAAAGACCACAAAACGTTACATTATTGAACACGGTTTTAAAAATCTGATCCAAGTCCTCTGAATATGTTGATTTCAAATTTCACGTGAAAAATTGATAGGTTTTGGGGATGTGGCACAGGAAATACAAGAATTAGCAACTTACTTACACCCCATCATATCAGTTGGAAGGTGCCAAAAATTACATACTCAATCCCCAATGGATGTTACAGTTTTGTTATTCACATTTACCTGATGGGCACAACGAGGGGGAGGTGCATTTGGGCTTTCCAACTTTGTCCACGAGTTCTTCTTGATGTTGTACAAGTATAACTCATTGTAAAGAAATGTCTGCACCAGGTAAAGAATAGCAAGCCTGCAGTTAATAATCAAATCCTCCAAAAGTCTTAAAATGTTGCGAGCAAAATCTTTTCTTTATACAAATACCTTCAATTCTCTTTCCCGAAGTATGCAGTACTTTTGTTTACAAAGTTAACAGTATTCTGTGGATTATCTGCCTTGCTTATTATGTCCAGTAATCAAGATTTAACTGAATATAGACAGTGAATAAATATATAGTTCAGTAACGAAAAACGGAGCTTTGTCAGCCACTAGGCGTAAAAGTTCTGAAAGATGAGCAACACCATTCCTTATTCACATGTAGGCTGTTTGAATGTTTACTCAATTGCAGCCCTGTCATGGCTGCTTGTGCTGAATATAGATTTTAGTTGCACATTACATCCACAATCCTCTTTCAAGGTCAACATTTTAATGGTAACTGTACAACCTGAAAGGGTGGCGGAAGCCGATTCAATAACAAATTTTAAGAGAGAAGTAGATAATTATTTGGGGAGGACAAGTTTGCAGGGCTATGGGGAGAGCGGCTAAGTAGGATTGATTTGGATAGCTTTTCAAAGAGCCCAGACACGATGGGCTGAATGGGCTCCTTCTGTGCTGTATAATTCTATGATTCTATGGAACCTCTTTTTCTAAAGACAAACTTTTGTAAGATTGAATGCATTCTTTGTAATATAGGAATGATTAGAATTTGCTATTTCAATAGTATAATAATATCATCAGGGAATGGAAAAAACGAAAGCCCACAGTATTGGCAAGTGTTTTGATTTGATTTTTTAGTGTCCTCTTCAGCCTATACCAGGCTGCCATGAAAATGATTGCGCTGACACCCATCCTCTAAATAGTTAAACACTTGTACTCAATACAGTTAAGTACTTCTAAATACAATTATCATCATTCTTCCACGTTTTAGTTGTTGGTCAGTGCACTGTAGAAAAAATAATGGGCGTAACAGGACTTTATAAACACCCTGTAGTTTTCACATTTAACCAACCGTGTAAATGAATACATTATCACTATAAATCCTTGCCCATATTAATCCTCCACCACAAACACTAATATACAGATTAAGGCCATAACTATACGAAGGTCATGAAACTGTAAAATACTTCACTTTTTGGCCATTGAAGTATTCGCCCCCAAAGAGGATCAGTTCATCTTTCTCAGGACAAGGAGACAGTGAAGCATGTAACCTTTGAAGAACACATAAAAAGGATTTAATACGTTAATACTACAACAATAAGATCTCATTATATTAAAAGACTGCAATACTGCTGAACTTCAGTACTGAACTTAGGCCAGTAGTACCCATGACTCAGTACGCCAACACTTGCATAACAAGCCGCAATTCATAGAAATGTTTAAACATTTTCCAAAAGTTCATCCTTCAAACTTTGTGACTAGCAGATATTTGTGATCCGCTGTTATTAACTAATGTGATTGTGTTAAATTATGATATTTCCACCAAGATAAGTATGTTCTGATATTATGTAGCTTGGCACAATGCTTTGTAAAACTATCACTGAATTAATAAAAACATGGCTCTTTGCATTACTCACCGGGGCGATGGAGGAGAACACGCCACCTCTGTCACTTGCGTCTTTTTCGCATCCAATTGTCTGAATTCATTTATTAGACTTTCTAGATCTTCCTAAGTTTAAAAAAAGTCTATCAATTCCTCATGAGGATCTCAATTGTAACTACAATAGTATTACATCTGGGATCAAACATTAGCAACGTCAACACCATTCCCACAGATTACGGAACCCTAGAGGGACAAATACTGTACTGCTCAATTTTACCAGAGCTCTGTGGCTTTAGGTCTTCACTGAAATACAATAGAGCTGCTTTTTGGCGCTAGATGTATGTGGAGGTCATATGCATTAACTCAGCGTTAAGGTCATTTGTTGTCTGGTATACTTTGGATCTTTCTGTTTTTTCCCCAAAATCTTATCATATTTATTCCGAAGGTGGTTAATATAGTTTAACATAGTGTGGAATATCATCAAAAAAATCTTATCCGTAGTCTTTTGGTACTCTGCTCGTTGCTAATGGTATCCCAGTACTTGTGTTTTCTTTTTTCATTTAAAGGAACTTCTTGAAATACTTCACAAATTGAGATCAGTTTGAAAGCAAATATTGCTAGAGAGACAATCAACTAACCTGGTTGGACATTACACTAATATAAACATCAACGTTGGCTTCAGAGTTTAAAACTTCCTCCCGTTGGTTGTTAGAATGATTCACTTTGTGAAACCTGGAACCATTTTTTTGGGGTGGGGGGGGGGGGGGGGGGTCAGCCGGGTGTCTGACACATGCGGAAACCCGTCGACGTGCTAAGGAGTATCCAAACCAAGCAGAGATTTTCATGCATCCCACTTACGCGTGGAAATCCCAGAGATAGACTGTGGGAGTGGAACGTGCACTCTCTCTCTCTCTCTCTCTCTCCCTGGAGGGACGCATCTTGCTTATCTAATTCCAGAAAGTATTAGGCGCAGGTTGGCAAGAGCCAAGGCTTGGGGGGGGGGGGGGGAGCCCAGAGTGCGCAGTGGAGTCTCACCGGCTGGAACAGCATAGTTTGCCATTGGTATTGCTGCCTGGTCAGCTTTCCCACTGCTTGTCCAGCTCGGACCACCCGACAACAGAAGGGTTAACGGGAGCTGAATGGGAGGGTTCCCTGTCCCCAGTGACTGGACCGTGTGATGGAGAAGATGAAGGGACATCTCCCCGACACAGAGAGGAGATCAGACTTACCTCCTCCCCCCGAGACCCTCTCTCTCTCTCTCTCCCCCCTTCCTCTCCCAGACCCTCACCTCCTCTGCCACCCCCCCACTCCCTCTCAGACCCGCCACCCCTCCCCCTTCAGACCCTCCCCCCCCCCTCTCAGACCCTCCCCCCTTCAGACCCTCCCTCCCTCCCCCCTCAGATCCTCCCCCCTCAGACCCCCTCCCAGACCCTCCTCCCCTCAGACTCTCCCCCCCTCAGTCCCCCTCCCAGACCCTCACCCCCTTCCCCCCCTCCAGACCCTCACCCCCTTCCCCCCTCCCAGACCCTCACCCCCCAGACCCTCCCCCCTCTCAGACCCCCCCTCCCAGACCCTCACCCCCTCAGACCCCCTCCCAGACTCTCACCCCCTCCCCCCTCAGACCCCCCCTCACCCTCCCAGACCCTCCCCCCTCACCCCCTCCCCCCCTCAGACCCCCCCCCCTCCCCCTCACTCACTCACCTCTTCTCTCTTGAACCTCTTCGAGACCTTTTTCTCCATTTTAGCCGCTGTCTTCTCCGCGCCTTTCGGCTTCTCTTTCTTATTCTTTTTGCCCATTCTCTCTCTCCCTCTCTCTCTCCCTCTCTCCCTCGGCCGCTCTGGCTGCCGCCCAACCCTCCCGGGCCTGTCTGACTGCGGCCCCGGGCGCCCGCCTCTAACCCAAGCCGCCAACAGTGCTCCCTCCGCCGGGTCACGTTAGCGTCAAGAGTCGGGGCCGCAGCGGCAGGTCAAGCGTTGCAACCGTGACTCCGCGCACAGCGCCACCCGGTGGTCACTGCCGCTCACTGCGCCCTCTGGCAGCCGGCGTGTGTCCCCTTCAGACTGCGCCCCCCCCCTAGTGGCCAGTGCGCACCTCTGCATACCATCCCCTGCTGTCAAGTCAGTCGTTTTATTATCACCTGTGTTTGCACTGTGTAACATGTTCCATGTTTATTCACTGGTCACAGATCTTACAAAGCAAGGACCACTTTCTATTCACAGCAGCATGAGAATTTGCTGGACAAAAGAAGACCAACGATCATTCAGGATTCACCATAATAATAATAATAATAATCATAATCATAATAATCATAATAATCCTCGCATTTGATATAGCGCTTTTCACGTCGGGAGGACGTCCCAAAGCGCTTCGCAGAACACACTGTAAAGTGAACTGACTGTATATTTGTGGGCGAACGCGGCGGCCAATTGCGCACAGCAATGTCCCACAAACAGTCGTAGATTGAAAATGACCAATTTATTATTGGTTTTGGAGGGATTATTAGGCTCTGTGTGGAGTAAGGAAACTTGCCCGAGGTTTCGCCCTCTGCCTGGAATTGAACTCAGGTCTCTCGCTTGCAAAGCGAGTGCTCTAACCACTGAGCTACAGGACTCCTATCCTTCCACCATCCTGGCAGTCGCTTGACACGTCGCGTCTCAAACTGTATCCCGAGATATTATTTCCTACAAGAAATCGTAATTTTGTTCTTGAAAGAATCATCGCTTTGTGGCTCACACCGTCACTCCAGGGAGCCTCTTCCGCCGTACGTTTACTGCTCGTTCGCTGAAGTGGTAACAGCAGCATGGTTACTTTCCAAGTAAAAACTACCTCAAAACAGTTTGCAAAATATCTAATGATAAATAATCCTTGCGTTTGATTTAGTGCCCTACCATGTCATCGAGATGTCTCAAAGGACTTCACAGGATACTGTAAAATGGCATGACTACTTGTGGGAGACTAATTAAAATACAGTTAATACAATGTTCATACAAAAAAATGCAGCATCCAATTTGTGCGTAGTACTGTCTATGATTGAATGATCAATTTTATCTGGGGGATTGTTGGCCAGGACACTGGGGGAAACTCCTTTCTCTTTTACTTTACAGTAAATCCTGCAAAGTCCTTTGAGTCTTCCACCAACCTCTATTTTGAGCTATCCTGTTTGTAACATTTGTACCCCAAGAGGCTACCCCATGTGAAAGGTGCTTTATAAATGCAAGGTGTGATGTTACAGTGTAATGTATTTCATTTATGAGGATAATTTCACGGCATCAATGTTTTTTTGCAGTTTGTTAAGCTTGGGGAATGGATGGCTCTTTGGCAGGAATGATGTCCACAGCAGAGAGAATAAAGAGGCGCTAAGAGAAAAAATAATCCAAACTATACATTTTATGTATGGTTCTAATATTTCTGTATTTAATAATTGCTGGAAGGCAAGTGAAACATTGCACATCATCCTCAGCGGGGCGCTGTCTGCTAGGTTACAATTTCAAAGCAAATTTCAAAACGCATATCCTTTACTTTGTTTACAGCCAAAGGTGGATGAATTTCATTTATCTTAAAGAGTTTTCATCGATTTGGATTTTCCCTGTTGAGGGATTTGAAGGAAAGATGCGACTCGCGTAAAAAGAATTGAATACAAGTACAGTATACTGTTGTCGAATTCTCTGAAGGGACCATTTATTTTTAAGGAATTAAAAAAAATACACACTTAAAGCACACAACCAATTCCCCCTTTCCCACTGACGAGGGACAAAACTGATAGTGAGCGTCTCACATCTGTAACTTTCTCACAAACCGCTCAGGGAATCCTTTCAGAGATCAGGGTTGGCAGAGCTATAGTTTATTAGCAATTAAAAGCCATTATTTGTGGAGCATTGCCAATATTGCAGTGCTATCTGCGAGCTTCTATTAATTTAAAGTATGTTAAATTGATTTGTTTTTTTTAAAAGTTAAGATGCTTGAAGGTGGAATTGTAATATTAGCAATATCACCTCCCTAAGTGCCACTTAAAAAAGGCCAATCATGCCATTGATTTCAAGCCTCTGACTTTTTGCATTATGAAGCACAGCAAGTTACGCTTTCATATACCACAATAGTAAACCTCTAATCTTGAAAAGTGACTCTTCTGAATTAGCGTATTATGGATTGCAAGCAAGATTTCACAGATCTATTGGGTGAAATTGATGAAGAAATTTGGATTCAACAACAACAACTTGCATTTACATAGCGCCCTTCATGCTGGATAGCGTCTCGAAGCAATTTGATTCAGTCAAACACTGAGGATATCGGATATGGAGCATTGAGATTAGACAACAACATCCTATAAATAGTAGGAATAAGTGACGAAGAAGTTAGACCTTTAGTCTATTTGCATTTCTTTGCTGAATAAACAATTTTAATTGAAATTTACACTGAAGACGTCTGTTTAGCATAACCAGAAATATAATACCTCCAGGATTACTTTGAAAAACCAATGACAGCTGCTGCCTGAAATGTCCCTGGATCAAATAAATAATTTGCACTTTTATAGCCTATTGCATTTAAAGTCTCAAAGCAAGCAAGTAATGACTGTCAAATGCAGTTACCTTTTTTTTGGCAAATGCCTCAGGCACTTGCGCCAGCAATATCCCACAAACAGCCTTGAGGTGAATGGTCAATTAATCTGGAGGATTACTGGCCAAGACACCGAGAAACTATTTTCATATAGTGTTGTTAATGATCACTTGAACTGGCAGAATTATCGTCTGGGTATTAACTTTCCCTTTGTGGGAAAATACCTCTGTGCTTATTTGCTTTGTATCTTTCCTGTGACAAGATGAGAATGTGGAGTTCAGCTTGTTGGAACCACAAGCACAAATGCTTCAATACAGTGAGTGCCTCAACACATCCCTACGTTTCCTAATTTAAAAAATACTTAATGAACCTTGAGCTAGAATGGAAAACCAGTTAACATGAATCACGCCCATTTTACTTTCTAATGAAGGCTTAATGTTCACAGAGATGAGATTGGTTAAGACGTTTTCTTACTTTTATAACAATAATACTGAGATACTGAGGATGAAGTTTGCTCAATCTTCAATACTGGTTCTACGCCTAAACCTTTAACCATTTAGATAGCGTATAAGCAGATTGGATAGCAGCTTTCAAAAGGAAATTGGATACATACTTGAAAAGGAAATATTTTGCAGGGCTATGGGGTAAAAGCGGGGGAATGGGACTATTTGGATAGCGCTTTCAAAGAGCCTTCACAGGCACGATGGGCCGAATGGCCTCTCTCTGTTCTCCAAACAAAAGAAAAAAAATTACATGAGACAATCATTGGTGCTCTGCAGAAACTGATAGGAAAGGTTGGCAACCTTGGATTGTACAGTAACTTGACTGCAATTAATCAATTAAACATTATTCACAACTCTATGAATTGGTCCTGTTTAGTAAAGACAACAGGACTCAAATGAAGCAGTCGTCTCTAGACAGATTAAACAGAGTGGTGCCCAAATCATAAAATGCTCTAAATGAGCATTCAGCTGTGAAGTACAATGTTTTGAAATGAATTTACTGTACTGACTTAGGCTCGACACATCCAGGAATCTATTTTCTCCCATATTGGTGCATTTAGGCATAAATATGCACTTGAATATGCACTTAGTGAGTTTGTGCACAGGATGCATTTATTTTTGGCTCATGTGCATATCCCACAAGCGTCCGATACACCTGTAGGAAGGTGGGTTGAAAGTACACCATATCTGTGAGAAGAATGGGGCCTCCCTCCAAATTAGTATTTTTGTAATAAGGAAGCTGCAGCAATAAAAGGTTTTAGTTGCAATAAAATTCCTATCATTGTCAGTGGGTGAGCTCAGGTTTCCACTTAGTGGGAAGATGAAGTTCAGTTCCTCATTCTTAAACAATACACAATCACCAGCATACTTTTACTTTGAAGAGGGAGTAGGGAGAGAGAGAGGAGAAAACAGAATCACAGCGAGTTCTTTGACAATGGAAGGTGGAGCAAGAGAAAAAGAAAAATATGAAGGAAGAAACAAGAAGTTGAGCGGAACAGACAGCAGAATGCTACTGATAAACGAGAGAGAAAGAGACAAAGTGGAGAGGAACATTGTAATTAATATAAATAATTAAATCTGGACTTATCTGAGATATAGAATACATGAAGAAAATTTAAGGAATAGTTTTATACTCTTTATATTATATGAAAACCAGGATCCATAGGCACAACCTAATAAAATAGTAATAACAATATGACAATAATTGCATTTAATATAGTGCCTTTCACATCGGGAGGGCGTCTCAGAGCACTTCACAGGATTTACTGTGTTTTGTTGGGGGGAACAAAGAACAAATTTCGAAACAGAAACAGAAGTCGCTGGGAACGCTCAGCAGGTCAGGCAGCATCTATGCAGAACGGACAGTGAGACGATGTTAAGAAAAAATTTTGTTGGTCGCAAAACCGTTGGAAACATGTGATTCTGCAATGGAAACATTGCCTCACTAACTACTCTTCGCCCAGCAGAAAGCCATGTCCACTGTATTTTCATTGCACTCACTGTCAGTCACAAGATGTGACTGAATGGTGTCTGATCACCTGACAGCCATACTGATTTTTTGAGGATTAGCAGCTTCACTTTATCTTTCTATTTTTAAATATGTTGTGTCATACTGTTGAAACAGAACCATTCATGGAAAAGCAACTGGGTAATGTCAAGGCGAGCAGATTTCATTCATGATAGTATTCCGAACACAGATGATGCTGTTGCAGTGGTTATTAAACAGATCTGCAACCCTCACGATAAAAGTGATAAGGGGCTGTTGGTTGGAGATCCTGAAATGGTGATAAGAATTCACTAGATCAACTGCGTTATTGAAAAATCTCTGGAAAATGCAACATTGTAAAAAGTCAATGCTGGCTTGCATATCAGTCAATCCACCGGAATTATAAACATACTGTA